AATGCCAAAATATCATAATTTTTATCTTGTTTGAAGTTCATTTCTTTCTTTCTTTTTTTTTTATATCAAACCGCTTCGCTTATAAGCCACACCTGCTCTGAATCATAAACAGTCTGAATTTATTGAGTAATTAGGTGATAAAAAATACCAAATGTTAGACTTTTGAGGTGGAAATAGAGGTCAAATTCTATTATTAGCCAAGTTAATAATTGATCCTAAAATCAATACCATAACAAACATTATTATAATAGCTACATACATAAAATGAACATAGTAAACTTACAGTTACTCATCAAATTCAAGGAAATATAAGCCAAAAGGAACCAAAAAACTCAAAATCTTTGTTGACCTGTTCAAGTTAGCTTATATAATCCAGTTACGTTAACTAGTGCTGTGCTGAATTTAAATCTTTGTCTGAGAACAAATAGATTCATAATTTTTGTGTAATTATCGTGCGTATTTCAACAAAACCCTACAATAAAACCACTATATGTATTATATCAGTCGATCAACAAAATCCTAAAAGCTTCACTAGAGGCTATCCTGACCACAAGTACCTGAGAATCAAACAACTTACGGTATAGAAATATAATAAACAATATGATGCGTTAATAATTGTGCAAATCAATGCACTGATAAAGTACTGGTATTTGATTAAGGCTTCTAGAAAGCACATGACAGTATAGCCTATACTGAATGGCAAGTTCGTCTATGATGTTTGATTAATCTTGTATTTTGTATATTTTGAAATAATAGTTGAAATAATAATTAGCAGATTTTGATACTAAATGTTACGGAGAAATTATTTAAGGAGAAAGCGAAAAAAAAGATTTTTAAATAGCAAATAAATGTATACTTAATAAGGTTAAAAATACAGCAATGCTGTCAACTTGACAAAGTAAAGGAATACAATGTATATTGTATGCAGAAAGAATTGCCATTTTAAACATCTGAACTTTAGAAATAAGAACACATAATAGAAAGATATTTCAGATAACAATTAGGTCATTGATTGACTAGATATTGCTGTAACATAACAGTAGTCTGAACCAGAAGACAGTATTCTGAAATCAATCCATAGTCAAACAGACACGCGACACACTTTAATGTCATGACATTGAAAATACTCACGTCATTTATTCAACATTTTTAACATTTCCGCACATTCCATCAATTCAATTGTGCATGTTTAACCACGGAACATCAGAAACAAGTATCACAATTATTGATTTAGTTAAAATTCCATTCATTTGACAAAATTAAATAATTGCAGTTCTAGAGTGAAAATGGGAATTGTCTTTTATTAAATATTCTATACAAAAATAAAAAAAAATGTAAATATCTCATATGCATTTCAAAGAAACAATTCATGCAAACAGTTATTTTTATAAAAGTCATTCTAGAATATTTTCAATGATTTAATTAAATTCAATAAAATTGATAATATATCAATACACCAACAACATGGTGCCATGGTATTTAATATTTATAAGAGTTGTATGACCTATAAAATAAGTAGTACTTATAATTCAATATGACCTTGTAATATGTTGTCTGTATGTCCTAATCATTTTCAAATAATTGAAAACAAACACCAGATGCCACATGAAACTAAGAAGAATCTGTAAGCTTATATAGTCTCTCTACCTAATATATCTAACCTACTCCTTCAAAAGATGGCATGAGGAAAATTGGATTATCTTAAATTCTAATACCCTTCAATTCTATTTGAAATCAATGAAGAAAAAATAAAGCCTTTCCGGTTCAATTCGGAAGTCAAGTTGTTTAAAAAGATTGGTAGATAATCTTACATTGTGTCTTCTTTAAACATCAAATAATCATTTTAACAAACAACTTTAGACCACAACTAACAACAAGAAATGCTGCTTTACACACACAAAATATTGACAGACAATTGTAACAGAAATAAATTGAAGAGAAATTTAAATGAATGGGGAAGTAAAATATTGATCTTATATTGGCACTAGTGTTAATAACTAATACAGTAATAATACCAGGCTTACTAATTTTCATGCAATTATTTACTGCTAGGTGGGTGGGAATTAGTACAAATTTCATTTTAATCCTATATCTTGACTGCTTGGGTGGCTACCCAAAATTATTTCCGAGAAAATACCATTTTCATAAAATTGTAATAAACACTTCAAAAGAAAACCTTAGTTAACTTTTACACATTTGTTCCTTCATTGCTGAACATTCCAAAACCAATCTGTTTTCAAATTAAATTCATTTCTTGAAGTCGACCACTAACAGTATACCATTTCACCACTTAATTTATATGAATTAAAATATCAACTTCAAAATATTACTGAAGTAGATTGGCTTTGGGTTGGCAAAAGAGAGGAATTTTCAGTACAAATTGTGGGTAATTACATGGACTCGAATAAATTGTGAGAAGAATGGCATGCAACTGAATTTAAAAAATTGTGAAATGAGAGAAAAATTCCGAGCTAAATGTAAATAGAGAGCACCAAACTTAAGTTGAAATCCACAGCATGAAATTTTGTCTGTAAGGGGTATGGGATACCCATAGGCATCTGTTTTTATTGATAGTCGACTCTCTCTATAATACTGATAGTATATATATATACTATTATAGAGATGGTCGACTATTGATAGAAACAGATGCCTGTGGGCATACCAGGCCAGAGGATATACCAGGAGCAAGGGCTCTAGCCTAATTATATAGAAAAGGGGTACAAAGAGAGTTCTAACTACAGCAAGAAGTTGAAATATAGAGCATGTATGCTATTTTGATAAAATATAAATTATCTCCTAAAGGCTTTATAGTTAGATATGCTGTAAGCTGATATATTGTCAAATTATGGTCACAATGTTGTCAAAATATTTCTGGTACTGCCAGTAATACTTGTTTTATTTTTTTTTTAAATTTATTGATTATTAAACATATAACTTTAACTTGATAACTAAGTGACGGCTCATCTTTTGCTTCGGTCATGTCTACAGACTATAGTTACTCTCTGACTACATTGAGCTTTGAATTAAATTTTTTTCATAATTTCATAAAAATTCAAATTTCATCAACCCAAAGGCAATCCATGACTATCACTGTAGTATTTTGTAATTGATATTCCAATTCATATGAAAATGACTGCCAAACATTGAAGTCAGACAGTGAGTAAGTTCATTTCTCCAATGCTGACAATGGTTTCATGTCTTAGATCTATACTAAATGGCATTTTTTGATCTCAAGGTAAAAAAAAAAAAAAATTGTAACTAAAAAAACCATGTCCAGGAACATGATGGTCTTGAATTAAATCAACATCAAGCTTTCTTCAATACCATTTCTGCATTCCTTCCTGCGAATTCTATATTTCCATTGGTTCGAGTTTTAAGGCAATTCAGTCGACCTGTCTAATATATCAGTAACCTAACTCATATTCAAAATATACCTACCATATTTTTTTAACAAATAAGCAATTTTCTTTTTTCATTTTTAGCATTTGGCATTCATTTCACAATATTCCTAAACATAAAGACTACCGACTTTGTCATACAGCCAAGTCACATTTGCATAACCTAACAACACCTCTAACTATACAAAACCGCTTTCCGGTAAATAGGTCAGCGTCAAGCTTTTTTATCAGTGGATTTTCGAAATATTTTGCACCTACTCACTTTTTATTGATGGCATATGAAGTGTCATTTTTAAAAGAGTGTTGGTTGTTCTAAATAAATTTCGATTCCTGTTGGAATATGCAAATTAATAAAATTCATTCGCAAGAGAACGAATCGCCATTTTGAGAATATTGTTCATCCCCCCTCTACTGAAAATTGAAATTAATAACAGTAGCACATGGCCTGTACAGTCGGTAAGGAACATTGCAAGCAGGCCGGTTAAATCATAATTAGTGCATCTTTAAATGGAAGAGGATAGGTGAATGCTTTTCTATGTTGTATTTGTCATGAGTCATTTTATTTGATCGAGTTAGAGTGAACCAAGCAAAGACCGTCGACATAAAATTAAACTGTAGACTGAATTCATTCTTTTGACAGCGTTTCCCGCGGTTTAAATTAAAAATATGAATTTAAATTCAGCTATGACTTTCTTTATAAACAGATTTTGAATTGACATGAGTATGTAAAAATGCAACCGAATTTTTATGACTTAGATCTACCATATACGTAATGTTTAAGTATTAATTATTATAGGCCTACTGTACTTAAAGTGATACTATGTCTTAGAATGAAGATAAAATTTAAGTTCTCGAAATGGTCAATATGAGTAAATTCATCAGGTAGCTTACCTGGTGTCATTAAGTTACAATCGAATCCCTGTAAAATCTGGAAAATTGGAAAATGCATTAAACAAAGGAATTGTTGAAAAACGCTTACGCTTAATCTTGATATTAAGCCTTTTTCAATAGTTAATTGCATATTTATGGATAATTACTAAGTTTTTTGGATCTATAGGAGTATATAAGGATCTTGTTATGTTATTTAAGACACCAGGTATATCTACTGGCTCTTATTCGCGAAGTTTGAAATTCTTAAATTTTATGTTAATTCTAAGATGTGGTATCACTTTAAAGACTATATAAGATCTATTAATGATATGTAACAAGGCCTAGATTTAGATCTACAAATAATAAGTAATGACCAAAAAGCCTATATTGTCTATAAGCCTAGTAGGATACTGGTATATGGATTGGGAAATCTGTCAGTGAAACATATATTCTGATCTCCAGGTAATGTGTTAAAATGAATTGTTGACAAAAACAGCAAGCACTCCTAGGTTTTGGGACCAGACTCTGTGAGTGGTGACTGACAACTTATAATGATTCAAAAGAACTGTGCCCTTTGTGCTAACCCCTATAAAACCATAAAAAAATAATTTTTGTTTTCTCTGACTTCTTTCAGTTGTTTTGCAGAGTGAAAGATGGATTTAGGACCAAATGCAAGTTCTAATATGTTGTCTGACATGAGAGGCCTGAAGATGAGTTTTGAAAATTTTGATGATGATGTATCTAAAGAAAGCAATGATTTAACTGTAGACAGCAGGTAACTCCCACAGTTAGGCCTATGTTACTGATATTTCAGTAAGTGACATAGTCATAGTTGATGTGACAGTGAGGAGGATGGTTTCAACATTTGCAGCTCGAGCAGCCATTGCTGAGTGATGTCATATTATTTTAATGTCATAGTCTTTGATTAATACACCTTTTATTTTATTCACACTCAATGCTACAATAGTTTATAGTATTCTACTAGTAAAGCAAATGTTTATAAGACTAATCTTATTATATCTCTTTTGTTTTAAAAGCTGATTTGTGACTCCCTGTAGGATCAGGCTTGATAGAAATGTAAACCATTTTGACATCACATTACTCTAGGTGTGAATAGTAGCCTAAAAATCATTTCTCTCATTTTAATTCTTCTCTTATTTTCAGTTTTCCAGATTCAGGATATTTAGCTCAACAAAAGGCTGGAGATTATGTTATGTCTGAACTTAATTCAGGTACGATATAAGCTCAGGTATATATAGCCTTGGATATATATAATGTTCTCTTTTCTGACTTAATCGATTTAGAAAAAAATGTCTGTTATATTTCTTTGGTGTTCAGCCTATAGCTTGACCAAGGCTTTGTTTTTACATTGCGCATTATCTCTCTACCAGAAATGTATTGTTAAATGCTAAATGTTCTTGATAGACATAGTGTTAGGGTGTATTGAGACAAGTCTGTAATTGTCTATTTTAGGATTACAGGCGACTGCTAATCCTTCTGATCTTCATGATACCATAGAGGTTAGATGATTATTTTTTTAATATTACTGTACCTGATGTATTAGTTTGTTTTTAAAACTCTAAATATCTATTTAGAATTGCAATTTACAAGTTTTCAACCCTTTTTATTATACGCCCACATGAATATGTGGTCGTATATTGTCGTCGCCCCTGTCCGTCGGTCCATCCGTCAACATTTCTTGTGAGCACTATAGAGACTACAGTTTTTATCTGATTTTGATAAAACTTGGTGTGATGCTTTAGATTGATAAGATCTCGGTCAAGTTCGAATTTGACATATTTTCGATGAACGGTTTTTGAGATATTGCCCTTGACTTAGAACGCCTTGAAATTTGTTAAAAATAGTTCGTGACCAGGATTGAAGCTACAGTTTTCAACCGATTCTGATGAAACTTGGTGTGATCATTGGAATTGATAAGATCTCGGACAAGTTCTAACTTGTCGCATTTTAGATGAAAGGTTTTTAAGTTATTGCCCTTGACTTTGTTAAAATGTGTCGAAATTTGCTAAAAATAGTTTGTTGAGCAGGATTGACGCTACAGTTTTCAACCGATTCTGATGAAACTTGTTGTGATCATTGGAATTGATAAGATCTCGGACAAGTTCTAACTTGATGCAATTTTGATGAACGGTTTTCGAGTTATTGCCCTTGACTTTGTAAAAGCGTGTCAAAATTTGTTTGTGAGCACAATAGAAGCTACAGTTTTCAACCGATTCTGATGAAACTTGGTGCGATCATTGAAATTGATAAGATCTAGGACAAGTTCTAACTTGACGCATTTTCGATGAAATGTTTTTGAGTTAATGCCATTAAATTTGTTTGTGAGCACAATAGAAGCTACAGTTTTCAACCGATTCTGATGAAACTTGGTGTGATCATTGGAATCTCGGACAAGTTCTAACAAGAGACATTTTTGGTGAACATTTTTTGAGTTATTGCCCTTGACTTTGTAAACGTCAAAAGTTGTTTTTTGCCCTTGATTAGAGTTGTGTGATTTAATTGTTTGTTGTATTTGGGTTATTGATATTGATTTGAAAAAAATTTGTGAATTATTCAGAATGAATAATTTCTTCAATATGAGAAAATTCGTACTTTAGTCACTAAAGACTGTTTTATTTTATCTGACAGCTGCCAGTGGGCGTATGTTACCTTGCAACGCAAGCTATCTTTACATTTCTATGTGATATTGAATACAATGTATTCAGCTAAATGTCTTTTGTACTACTAAATAGGCATTAGAAAAAAAGATTATTACTGATGGCTTCCAAAAAGTTTCAAGATTGAATAATAGCTTCCACAGTGCATCAGTTCAGGATTTTTTCTTTAATACAATTGCTAACAAACTATTTGCCAATTTTTCATTTTGAAAACTGATAACTATAGCTGGAAATTTTCTTTTTTGACCTTCAAAGCAAATATGAGATTACTCAATCAAATTAAGCTGCCAGAAAGTTCAGAATGTATTTACTATTTTTCTAGACAAAGAAGAAAAGTGGTTGGCCCAAGGGCAGAAAACGAAAGAAGAGTTTAAAAGATGTAAATGCTCCTAAACAACCACTCACTGGTTATGTTAGATTTCTAAACAATCGTAGAGAACAGTTGAGAAGAGAAAACCCAAACTTGTCTTTTAGTGAAATAACCAAAGTATTAGGAGCTGAATGGTCTAACTTACAGCAAAGAGAAAAACAGGTAACAAGGCTTTTCTACTAAGATTTTTATTTACATTGCTGATGATCTAATGAAAACCATTTGTAATTGTTTGTTTGGTCATAAAATGGTAAGATTGAAATATCAATTCCTGTGTTTTCACACAAAAAGAAAAAAAAGATGAAGCAAATATTAACTTTAGTGTGAAATGTTACAAAGAGCCAAAAGTATGAAGATACAAAGCAAAGTTCTTTAATATCCTATTTTGATATTTTATTCAATGTGAATTTTACATTTTTCAACTTTGAATTTCATTTTTCCAGCGATTTTTAGATGATGCTGAAAAAGACAAAGAGCGATATCAAACTGAAATGGAAGCTTATCAAAAAACAGATGCCTATAAACAATTTAAATCACAACAGGAAAAGAGACTGAAAGGTATTTAGTTAATATATTTGAGTTATTATTAAATTTCAGTCAGAAAGGCCCCAAGTGGCATTATGTCTGCTTCAGAAAAAAAAGGCTGGTAAGAAAAGTTAATATGATGATTTATTTGTTGTTATAGGTGATATTGAAGAAGATATGAATGTAAATGGTGATACATTAGAAGAAGAGAATGATACAACAACCTCTACTAATGGAAATTTTGATATACCTATATTTACTGAGGATTTCTTAGATCATAACAAAGGTAAGTAGAATTTCCATGAGAGGGAAATATTCGTTCTAGCTTCTGGAAATTTTGATGCTTTGGTTAGGGGGGATTCTTTTATTGAAATAAATAAGGCCATGTCTTATCCTTTTTTTTTAATTCTATTTGAGATGATAAATGCTTTAGAAAGTTTTACTAATAGGACAGTGACAAATTGAGGTTTGTTTGTCATATTTTATTTTCAATGGTCAAAGGGAGATAATTTGTCCAAAATTGTCATATGAATAGTTTTTCCTCTTGAATAAGAGATACTCAAAGTAATGAACATTCTAATTTGTTTTACAGCTAGAGAGTCTGAATTACGTCAGCTAAGAAAACAAACAACGGAATTAGAAGAACAGAATGCTATATTAAGTAAACATATAGAGAATATGAAACAAGCTATAGATAAACTAGAAGTTGATTCTGTCCAACAGCGTAATAGTAATTTAGCTCTTCAAAATCATCTAGATAATTTACGTTCTACTCTTACATCTCATTTCTCTACTATTCCATTACCAGGTAAACATGATTATCTTTTATTGACTTATTCAGGTTTGATGGTCAAGCTACATTGCAATGGTTTTACTGTATTACAATAGTGTGCAATTTTATGCATTTTCTTTCCCTTCTCTTTTCAGTTATTATTTTCGTCTCCATTGTAATCTAACAACTTTTCTACCACAGTCCTGTTTAAAGCATGTCATGTAGGATTCGTTTCTTGAAAACAATGATGAACTGTGGGAAAGTTAATTCAAAGGAGACTGCCATATTGGTTTTTTAAATTTTATAGTTCACCACAGAGAAAATGGTATAATGTTTGTTATATTATTATTTTCAGGAACCAATGAAATACCTTCATTAGATACTATAGATACATACATGGGTAAACTTCATACCTTAATACTGGATTCTCCCCAAGAAAATGAAAGTTTGATAGCCACAGTGAGAGAAATAGTGGGGCGTTTTAACAGTGACAGGTTAGAACAATAGGTAATCTTATATATATCTGTAGTTTGGGATATCTACTCAATATTTACAGTTAGATTCATTGAATTTTATATGATGTGATAATTTTATACGCCCACATGAAATGGGAGGCCTGTATTGTCGTCACCTATGTCAGTCCACCGACAATTGCTCATAAACACTCTAGAAGGCACAGATTGATTTTGATAAAACTAGGGATACTTTTAGCTTGTAAACACTCTAGAAGGTTCAATTATTGACAGATTTTGACGAAACTTGGTGAGAATGTATGTTACCAACCAAGGATGAACCATATTGAAAATCAGAAGAATGGAAAAATATTTAGTATGAGTTATTGCCCTTGTACATGAAAGTTTTTTCAATTGGTGGTATCTGGGAGAATTAATCTCTAACTAAAATATTGCAGTTGCTCATGTTCTAGTTGTTAGGTTGGAATTTGTGACAATCAAATTGACCATAGTTGCTTGTAATCTTTCACTATCTTGATATGAGTGCTACTTCATAATGACTGCAATGAATCCAATAAGATGCTTTAATGGCCACTCAAACCTAGCCCGCCTTCTCAACTCTCTTGTGCTAATCATTATGTTGTATTGAAAAGAATAGATGAATTTCAAAACTATGTCTTTCTTCAGATAATTGAGCATACCATTATTATGTTTATTTCAGTGATAAATAAGATGTAAATATAAAGGTTATTGTGATAAGGAAAGAAGATGTAGTTTGTAAGATACATGGTACGATATAGTTAAACTGAGACAGCAAAAATCAAATTTGTTGGCTTATGTGTTGTCTGTGTCTGCCTTTTGTCCTTATTTTGTCACTTCTTGTGCATAATTGTTAAAACACCGGCATGACATGTTTTCTGGACTAAACTAGGGTGCTAGCTTGAGCTTGACTCCCCTGTTGTCTGTGACTATGAAGAAACTGCACTTATGAATGTTGAAAGAGTATTAATGTACACTTGTGTGTAAAAAATATGAATGTTTTTTTGACTTTGTGATTTTGTTAAGAATTGTGTTGTAAGATATAAATTATTTTTCAATTTTGAAGTCTTTATTACGGATTTTTTCAAATTTCAGTTATTTTGACATATCCTACAATATGAATTTATTTAGATCTAGTAACCTTTACAGTTACGAACTGATTGGATGAATTAAACTCTTTGATTTATGAGTGAAAATTAAATTAAATATGATATGAAAATATGTACCCTATGGATTTAACATGGAAATAAACACAATCGAAGTTGTTTACAACCATTTTGAATTTCTATCTCAAAATTGTTTTGAACTACAGATCTGTGTTATTTCCTTGCAAGAACCATGCCTAGTTTCGTGTTTATGTGATGCTTATTGAGACGTTTTGTGAAAAACATCAATAAATATCCCAGGACTATCAATACTCCCGAATATACAACACAATAACAATCAGTAGCAAGGACAAATCTATGAACCGAACGGGATATATAATACAAATAATAGTCTATGATCTTACACCAAATATATATAAAAAAAATAGTAATTGAACATTGGACCCGGTATTTACTCTTTTAATTTAGTTATTTTTTAAAATCAGACCATAACCAAAACTAAACATAAATGTCTTTTGTTTTCCTTTCGCAATAATTTATAATCTTGAACTACCCTATCCTATCATGCCACAATTATATCAATAAAGCCATTCACCACCAAACAATAAACACACACTTGTATGATAAATATTATGGACGTTGCTAGACGCAAAATAACGACAAACATCGATTTTAACTGTTGTCAACCTAGATTAGGGGAACTAACTCTATGGATTAAGAAAGGCTGTTGACATGATTAGACCTTTTCGTACAGTGGATTAATGGATTTAGGTTATTTTGTGTAAAATTTCTCAAGGTATGGGTACAAAATTTTACAACACATTCTTAGATTATTTCTTTTGGTTATCCGGAATGAATATCATAGGCCTATATAAAAATGTGCTATATATAGAAAATGGTAGCAAAGTGAAAACTACCACGGGCCATTGATCGTTTTTTTTTCGCCTGTCTAATGTCATTCAATGTATTTTATGTTTTCGGAGGACCTTTTCACATTGTTAAAAGAATACAGTATTATCAAAAGAATGTTAGGAGGTCTCGAGTATTTTATTTTTTTATTTTATGTTCTGTTAGACTATATATTATTTATAATATGTCATATATTCTTATAGCAAGGTGGATTTTAACTTCTGACGCCGTCAACAGCCGTAATACGCAAGAAAACGTTATGCCGGTTGACGGCGTCAACAGACCTTACCCAGCGTTAGCGTCATTGTCCCATGTGTAAACACGCGTGCGTCGACCTATTTTAAGCGTCGATTGTCTGAGTAATCTTTTAGCTTCCTGGGAATGGTTCAAACGCCGGCATATGCAAATTCACGTCGTAGATAGTATAAACCTATGCGCTGACGAACGCTGGCAACCTACATTTCTTCAGTTAGATTTGTTATATCTCTACATTTTATGCTATTTTTTTCACCATTTTCTGTAGATTTTCACTATCTAGCCTAGACCTATCATGACTTCCAATATCCATAGAAAGGTAATTAATATTGATTGAATTGTTACGGATATCTGTAGTTTGAAATTAATGCCACTTCGCACGTTCACAAGTTATCTTAATGCCACTTCGCACGTTCACGAGTAATCTTATTGCCTGTCTGATTAAAACGCAGCTCAAATTTTTCTTTCGGATTTTTTCTCTACAGGTTAATTCACTTTTCATCCTGATCTGATAAAATTCTTCTTTCTTGTTTGTCCAAATTTTGACAGACTAGCCTAGTATCAAAAGTTATTATAACTTATCAAGCGACAGCGACAACGGAAGTAGAATACATTTTTCATTTTGTAT